CAAAGCCCTCGTCCCGCCTGCCCCGCCGACCTGGCTCCGACCTAGTTTGGGGCCCGACTCTGGAGCCGGCCACGCGGCCCTTCGTGTTGCTTCCTCTCTACGGCCGGCCGAGGGCTTTCTCAGCTCCCTTCCATTTGGTCCACTCCGCGTTGTCGCTACTGACCTACCGTCCCCACCTCTGCGCGGTGTCTCCCCTAGAAGCAGTCTTCCTGCCCAAGGGTGGACCCGCGCCCCCCATCCCGTGAAGCGCCCCAGCCCCGCTCCTCCAGGAGGCAGCCGCGGGTCAGTGAGTCTGCACGGCGCTGCCCTCTGGGACTCCTCTGTCAAAGCAAAGGCCCTGTGCCGAACGAGTGACCTCCGCATCTGCGCCTCTTTCCTAAAGCGGCTCTCGCGACGTGAATACAAATACAGTTAAGTTTAAAAAAAAATCCAAGCTAGAACGATGTGCAGGACGGAGCCAGCGGGAGTCACACGTACAAGTCACGGAAAGGCAACGAAGGTGCAAACGGAAGCAGGGCCGTGCTCGGGTCAGACGGCCGGTTCCCACGGCTGATTCTCCCGTGAGTCCCTAGACGTGTCCCACGTACGTACATCCTCAACTTAAGAGAAAGGACGATCGAAGGTACAGAATGAGAGCTGGGTATCGAGCGCCCCCCCAAGATCACCGCGCCGTTACGAAGTCGGAGGCCCATCCTCCTCGAGAGGCAAATGACCGCGAGGCTGGTGTTCAGCCCAAACGCGACTGGGCCACTGCACAAGCCCGGCAGGGGTACCGGGCTCTCCAAGGCTGTCCCCTCACCGGCTAACCGGGAAGAGCCGTACTTATGCAAAAAGTCACTGGCAGGATTAAATCACAGAATCCCCACGAAGCAAGGAGCACGTCTGTGCCCAGCACGCGGTAAGTTCTCACGAAACGGCAGCTACCGGCATCATTCCTGAGTGGCGCTGTTTCCTGATCAGTTACTTTAGCATTATTTATGTTGTATTTAACAGTAAGTAAACAAACTATCACCGAAATTATCTTAGAATCCAGCTACCTCATTCACCAGGAAGCTACGCTTGTCACACACACGTTCTCCCAGATAGGTGACCCAGGGACGAAAACCCAGCAACTAAGTGCCCCCAAAAGAGCCCCACGCAGCCCAGAGGACGGTCTCTCTTGAGAAGGCAAAATATAGCCACGAGCAGGCCTTCCGCGGAGGCTGCCGCCCAGCAGGGGCCCCTGGACCTGGTGGGTTGGGGGGGGCAGGGGAATTTTACCTGCAAACACTAAACCCCCCCAGTCTCACCACCCCCGGGGAGCGAGCGGCACTGATCCCCGAGATAAACCAGCGTTTCCCCTGACTCCCCGCCCGGCAGAGACTGGAAGGGAGGGAGGGCGTTCGGAGCATCCTGGTGGCTGCACAGTAACATGCGAGGCTACTTTTCTTCAGTGACACTCAGTTTAAGAACTTCCTTATTCACGGAAAACACGAAGGGTCAACTCAAGTAAAACCCCTGCCTCAGGCAGAGAAGGTGACAGGCACCTGCCAGGCCGGACCTTAAGCTGCTGTCTGCTTCCCCGGCCTGCACCCCAAGGCCCATCATCGATCACAGGGCAGGGACTGGCAAACGTGTGGGATGAGGACACACTTGGAAGAGCCCACTGCATGTCGTACCCTAGTGCGTTTAGAGAAAATGGGACAAAATCCTCTGAAAGATTCATCGCTTTTTCTATAGTAGGTGGAATTTTCAACGAAGAGTTTTAGTTCTCTTTTTGGTCCGTTTGCCCTCATTTTAGTAAGACAGATACACAGCGAGGTCCGTGCGGAGCAAGGAACCACAACCCACGGTTTAGCGCATCCGGTCCGGAATTTGGCACAGCGTCCGAGCGGTCGCAACCGCAGGCCAAGGGTCTGCACGAGCTGCGTCACTGCCACCCGGCCCCCCTGCAAGGTGAGCAGCTCGACCCCCACTTTAGGGCTGAGCCGCGACACACAACTCCGTGAACTCGAGCCCGGCGCCATGTCTGAGGGCTGGGTCTTTTTAGGGCACTGGGGTTGGGTTTCTGGGGACAGGTCAGGTATGGCATCTTACCTCTCTCAGATAATGAGGCGAGGAAAAACGTAAGCACCGGGCTACCGGCTGAGAAAGCGCCAGGGCCTTGTCAGCGGGGCCATCTCTAGTACTTCCCCTAGGGGGCCACCTACACTAGCTTTTTGCTCATGGGGTTACACTAGCCAAGACAGATACATGATAAAAAGTTCTAGGTTTTTGTTACTCCCTAACGTAACCTGTTCCAAACTTTAACTCAGAAAAATCGTAACTTAATACGGCCACTTGTCTGCTGCTTTCCACTCAAGCTTTTACCAGAGAAGAACCAGCTGTGGCGTGAGAAGGTTGGGTAAACCGCTGCTTCCCGAACGGGACAGCCACAGCGCCTTGGCCCAGTCGACACCGCGCCATTCCCCGGGCCCTTCATCTCTGTGGTTTTTCTTCAAACACTAGGTCTTCCAGGCGCGAACGCAGTCCCCCACTACTACAAATTATGCAGTCGAGTTCCCACGTTTGGGGAACTCACAGGGGTCAGCATGTGCGGAGTGCAGTGGGCGAGCCTCGCCCCGGGAAAACCACCTTCGTGGTCGTGGTGTCTCCCCTGCCAGGTTAAGTGTGCCATGCCCTCCTTTACCTACATCGCTCTTCAAATGCAACGGCTCTGGAGAAATTTCACTCTGACATCTGGACTTATCCACCATGAGAGGGCCTCTCAAAAAGGCCCAGCTACGTGAGCAGACAGAAACAGAAGCCGGCCACCAGTCCTTGCCACCCGCTCTGGACCGCTGCTGGCTGCGGGCAGCTGGCGGCAATGAACCTTCCGCTGTAAACAGTGTCATCTCACGGGGACCCTCTGGCTCTGTCCTGGTCATTTTTCAGTCCTGTGGGAGGGGCTTGCCTGGGCCCCTGCACACGGCTGTCTTGTTAGTTCTGCAGAGAGCAGGGGCAGAAGCACACTCGATACTGCACACGGACGAGCAGGTAAGAACTGGAAAGAACTTAAGGAAACAGCTATATGAGTGAACTGTATCCCAACAAAGGTGTTAAAAAGAAAGCAGCCAGCTGTGAGAGGGCGGGGATGGTATGACCCATTTTTTTTTTAAGGGGATGCGGAGGAGAGAGGTAGAATGAAAAATGAGTAAGAACGAAATCAACCTGGAGTCTTGCTACTGAAGAGCGGGCGAGGGGAAGAGAGTGTGTGCGCACTGACAGACAGGATGATTCCAGAAGGAGCAGCCTGAATAAAAGCGTGGACCAGGGAACCACGTCGTCTGAAAGGACAAAAGCTACGACTCGACTGTGGCGCGCGTGACACGCAGGAGTGAGGAGAAAGGTCTGGCCGGGGGAGTGGGACAGGCCCCCACGGACACAGCCACAGCACCTTATCTGGCTGGGGTGCCACGCGGGGAGCCCGAGGGCTCCACACAAGGAATGGCTGAATGAATGACCAAGCGACACAACGTGAAAGCATTTCAGAAACCACGACACTGGAAAAACGGCTTGTTGTGACTGATCAGTACGTACCCCAAAGGCTTTATTCGCAGCTTCTAAAATACATCAGAATCCACTAAACAAATATTTATTAAGCATCTACTTTTTCCCAGGAACTATTTTAAGCAGTAGGAAAAGATCTGTGAACAAAAGTCCCTACCTTCATGGAGCTCACGCTTTAGTAGAGTAACATGGAAAAGAAAATGCATATGGAACGAGTAGATTATGTAGATATCGTATCACGTTACGTTATATTATGTTACATATTTCGTCCTTTGGAGAAAATGAAACAGGGGAGCTGGGAACGTGGTGGGGTAGGGAAGCGAGTTATAATTCACACCGTGACAGTGGTCAGGACAGAAGCGTGGGGGTGGGGAGAGCGCTGAGGCTCTGACTATATTCTGAAGGTGGAGCCCGCAGGACTTCGTGCTGGACTGGACGTGCAGCGCGAGAACCACCCCAGGCGCTGGCCTGAGCACCGGGACGATGGAGCTGCCACCGAGCGAGACGGGGAGGCAGGGACGGGGCAGGACGCGCCTGAGCTGCACCTGTCTCACAGACACAGGGAGCCGCTGCGTACGTGCGTCTGGGGGCCGGAGCTGTGGATCCGCGGGACGAGGTGCACAGCTGGCATTCGCGCCACCAGCCAGGGAGCTAGCGGAGCCCACGCAGGGACGGAGGGCTGGACTTGGGGTGCTGGGCCCAGCATGAGGGGGCTGGGAGAGGGAGTGGAGACAGTGAAAACAGACAACTCGGAACAGTTCTGCGGCTAAAGAAAATGCACACATCAGATGCTCAAAATCATTTTCAACAAATGTTTTGTTTTAAAAACAAACTACTCATCTCGGAATGGAAGTAAAGCTGATTCACCGCGAACCAGTGCTCGCGTCACCCTGACCGGCCACCCCAACCGAGGGTGGGGACACCAGGAGTGCTACCGACATCACAGGCTGGGAACGAAAAGTTCATCTTCGCTGCCTTAGGTGCTAACAGTAAAGCACAATTCTAAGTTACAAAATAAATGTCCCAAGCTGCCACGAGCACTCTGCAGAAGACAGCGTTTTCTTAACATGCCAATGGCACCTGACCCTTGTGTGGCTCCGCCCAGTCACTCGGAGCCGCCCCAGCGCCCCCGCCGGCATCGGCCCTACCCCGCGAACCTGCGCTAGCTCCTCGGGACTCCTCTTTGCGTAGACAGTAATGACTTTACTCACTGGTTTTTCTTTAGTTTTCCCTGATCCTTCTTTACTGAATTTTCAGAAAAACATTTTAATTTTGATAAAATACATTCATAAACACATATCCTGCTTTACCAAGTCAACTACTGGCATTACGTACCCTAACGTTTTAACAATACACAGATTTCACAGCATGCGGGACCGAGGCATCTAAGACCATCTACAATCACGAGTGTGGTGTTTTGCGGGTTCGGCCGCCCAGAATCGCGGACGCCCCAGAGATGGTTCTGTAATTCCAAATCTGACTTTGCTAACTAGATGGCTCTTAGCAGCTGACCAGTTTCACCCTTAGCGTCTGACTGGTTACTGTGAAGACAAAAAGCAGTACACCGGGTCCGGGTGGTCCTCTGCAGGTCCGGGTGGTCCTCTGCAGGTCCCCGGGGCGGGCCCCCCACCCCCGCACGCGGCAGCACTGACAGCGACGCCGTCACCAGGTCACCAGGAGGAGTGGCACGGGAAGTGAGCGCAGCTGCGGTGCTCCAGCAGGACCAGAAACCACGGAGACTCCTCGCCCCTCCTCAGCACAAAGCCAGGCCACCAGACAGAAAGGGGACACTCTCCGCGCTCATGACTTGGCTGTGACCTGCCAGCGCAGGAAGGATGTGAGCGACGGCCAGGAAGGGGACCGGCTACATCCCTTCCTCCCAGACCGCCTCATGCTTACGCCTCTGCTGCAGCTGAAGGACAGAAAGGCGCTCCAGAGCTCTGGCCACCGGCCCTAGGGCAGGGCAGGTCCCCGCTCACTCTTCCCGTTCCCAGGGGACCCCCAGCCTGAGCCTCGCTGGCACATTTCCAGGAGACACCAACCGCAGGGCCAGTAACGAAGGGTGCTGGTACGATGGCATCTAGAAAGATACAACCAAGAAGGGACTGGGGAGGGCAAACTCAGACGTTTGCAGTCAGCAATCAATGCGTTCGAAGGAAAGCAACTTAATTTCAGAAGCCAGTAATCTAGGGGAATTCTTAGCAACCAAACACCACCCACCACGTCTGTCGCCGTTAATTCAGATGTATGGCATTGAGAGACATGAAAAGGCAGGATTTGATTAATACAGCAGGTCCTCAAATAATGTTGTCTGTCATCCCACTGAGGAGATGCCACAGGAACTTAACCCTCATTTATACGAATTAGCCTCTGGTAAACTTGGTTTCATTGTATGTTATTTCACTTAAAATCATATAACCCATCAATGACATTAAGTGAGGATTTACTGAACTTTAAATCTGTCTTTTACTCTCTCTTCTATCCCAAATATTTGATGAAATATCAAATCTAACCATTGCTAGTGGCAACTACTACTTTCTGAGCATCTATGTGTACGGAGATGGCACATAATAACATCTAAAACCTGCAGCACAGGCGTTATCTGCTTTTGATATATAAGCAAACTGACAGCCACAAAGCCCAAGTCCATAGAAACGCTTGGTATTTTTATTCTCCTGTTATATATTTGTATTTCCCACACAAGTGACTATTCCTATTTCTTATAACATTCCAAGTGTTCAATTTAAAAAATCAGAGGAAAAAATTAACTCCGCTTCTTTTTCCTGTTCTTAATCACCTACGTAGTAGGCTACCAGTGCGTTACCAAATGTGTGTGTGTGCTACTGCTGTGAATTCAGAACGGTCTCGTTTTCTTTCTGCACAGCAAAACTGCAGCTGCTTCCAAGTTCATGATCGGCACATCTTCTAAGGAGCCAACATAACACTCAGTGGTACCAGGAGCATTTTAGTTAAAGGTCAATTGTATCGCTCAAATTCTTTGAAAACCGGTAATCCAAGTAAACGATTTTTTGCTCTCCTCTAAACGGAAGATTTATCCCCTTTCCATTCTTCAGCTGTTTGTTTCTCTTAGGCTAACATACGTGCACCTGCGCCCCGCTGTGTCTACCAGATACAGGAACGCCCGGAGCAGCTTTGCTCATAACCGTCAAATCCGATTACAACCTGAACGCTGGCTCGCAGGAGAAGGGGCGGTAACCTGGAGGACGCACGCACTGGGTGCCGGCGACAGGGGCGGGAATGACTGCTACACAGCACGCTGACGAGCCTCAAGGCAACAGTGCGAAGCTACGGAAACCGGACACCAAAAATACAGCATGACTCCACTGCGCAAAGTTCAAAGCCAGGTACAACTCCAAGATAACGCAACCGAGTCTTCAACAAACAGCGCTGGGACAACCGGACATCTACATGCCAAAGAATGAATGTGGACCCTACTTCATCCCAAGTACAAAAATGAACTCGAAATGGGTCAGAGACCCGAAAGAGCTAAAACTATTAACACTCCTAAAAGAAAACACCGGCATAAACCTTTGTGACCTTGGGTTAGGCAAGGGATTCTTAAATATCAAACCAAAAGCACAAGAAATTTTTTTTAAATTAGTCTTCATCAAAGATAAAAATGTTTGTGCATCAAAGGATACCACTAAGAAAATGAAAGGACAAGCCACAGAATGGAGAAAATATGTGTTAATTTGCAAATATGTGCAAATTCATACATCTGATGAGGGATCTGCACTCAAAACGTATGAAAAAACTCTTACAATTCACTAATAAAAGGACAAATAACCAACGAAAAAATGGGCAAAGGATCTGAATAGACGTTTCTTCAAAGAAGATATACAAATAGCTAAAAAACACGTGAAAAAATGCTCAATGTTATTAGCCATCAGAGAAATGCAATCAAAACCACAATGAGCGGCCATGTCATACCCACCAGGACGGCCGGAGTAAAGACCAGACGTGTTGGCAAGTTGCTGGAGAAGCGGGAACCCTCACGTGTGCCTAGTGAGATTATAAATGATGCAGTCGCTTAGGAAGACAGTCCACTAGCTGGTTCCTCAAAATGCTCAACAGTTATCGCACACCTCAGCGACTCCACTCC